GGGGGGAGCAGGGAGGGAGGGGAAAAATGAGAAGCTGATCCCAGGGGCTTAGGTGGAGAGCAAATATTTTGAGAATGATGAGGGCAATGAGTGTACAAATGTGCTTTACACAATGGATGGATGTATGAATTGTGATGAGTTGTATGAGCCCCTAATAAAATGATTTTTTAAAAAAGGAACGACAAGAAAACAGTAAACAAAGGTCCTTGCTATAAAAAGAGAAGACAAGCAAAATGATGTGGGTGAAAAAAGAGAAGAACTAGCCACCACCTTCAGCACTGTGCCCGTGATTGTGCCTTCCAGAGTAAACATTCTGTGCAATTAATCATTAGCAAAACAAACAAACAAAACACACATCACATCACACTCCTGAATATAAAACCATTTTCAGATATGGATGGAATAATCCTCTTCCTCCTAATAGGATTCAGAGTAAGTTTCTTTTTCATGTAGCAAGACAAAGACTATATTAAGACATCCAGAGATTATCTGTCACGTACCTAAGGAGGATGATTAAACAGAATTGCTTTGAACACACCTGTCAAAGAGGTGCTAAGACTTTGATACATTCAGTGTCATTCTCACTGGTTACTGAATTCACCAGGAAAGCCTGGATTTTGATGGAAACCGTGCACGATCTTGGGTTGTAGGAAAGTCCCCAGCCTTCACAGCATCCTTCCTCAGTGTTACTAGCAAAGCCCGAGTGTTTTCTCATTATCACACACTCTCTTGATAAAAATGATTATGGGCCTCTCTGGCCGTAAATCCTACCTATAATAAAATGTTGGCTACATTTTCCAGCCACATTAAATTAAACATTAAATTAAATTAGAATCTTAAATGGACTTCAATGATTTAACAGATAATTAGGTGAAACCATAGAAAGGTCTTAACCATGCTGTTGTAGCACATGGAAGAAAGCTTATAATCTTCTTTGAACATCTTTAAGAAAAGATGTTTTGGGATCATTTTAGCACTAATTCTAACTATGGGTAACAGGTCAGAAATAATACCCACTGGAGTTTTCCTTTCTACTCTTAAAATACTATGACTGGTCATATGAGGGTCAGGAGGCGGCAGCAATAATCTGTGGTTCACCTCTTGGGAGAGGGGAGTGACCGGAAAGGGGCATGAGAGAACTTTCTCTGGGGACAGAAGAGTCGTGTCTCTTGATTCGGATGGTGATCAGGGTTATGGATACTGCTGCCAATGGGTCAGTTCGGACACATCGTGATCCTGAGCAGAGCAGCCAGGAGCACTGCCTGAACCTGTGGCACTCGCACAACTGTTCTCCTGCTGACCTCAGTGCTGCAGCCAGGTGTAGGTTCACCTCCCTGAGGGCCGGCCTCTCTCTCACGGACCTTCTGCTCCACCAAGCGGATGGATAGGACTGTCAAATTCTGTAACATGGTACATGTAAGATCTGTACGCTGTATCGACTATAAATTTTATCTTGGCTTTAAAGATTCTATTTCAGGGTCTTTGAAGAATTAACCCTTAAGAGCGAGGCAAGAGAAGGAGGCTGACATGCCCACAATATCAGATAACTGCACAACTCTTCTTGGTATGATTGAATTGTATGACATCTGGATAAAGTGCTAATAAAACTGGTTAAAAAAATCTAATAACCAAAATACATACAATTTTGACATCTTAACAACAAAGAGACAACTCATGCAATCATAAAATAACAAAGAACTTGAAGAGACATTTCACCGAAGAGGGCATTCAAATGGCATCAAACCCATGAAAATGTGCTCAGGGTTATTAGCCATCATTTGCATCAGAGATATGCAAATAAAAACGAGATACCATTTCACTCCCACTGGGACTGCTAAGACAAAAGCAAAATAAACAGAAAATGACAACTGTTGGAGGGACAGGGGAACTTTGAACCCTTTTCCACTGCTGATGTGCATTCAAAATGGTAAGGCCATGGTAGAACACAGTGTGCCAAAATACCAGAAAGGGAGCTACCGTACGGGCCAGCAAGTCCACTCGTAATTACATAGCTCAAAGAAAGCAGAGATTCAGAGACTTGTATATCTGTGTTCATGGCACTATTCACAAAAGCCAGAAGGTATAATTACCTAAATGTTCATGATCAGATGAAAAACAAAATGTGGTACACGCATACAATGAAATACTACGTAGGCAACAGGAGAAATGAAATTCTGATACATGCTATGAAATGGATAGAGCTGGGAGACATTATGCTGAGTTACATAAGCCAATCACAAAATGTCAAATAGTATCTTACCTTACTTTAATAAGGAGACAAGAAAAGGCAAATGCATAGAGACCAAAGTTTATTAGTGATTACTAGGGACAGAAGGGAGGGTGATGAAAATATTCCATTTATATTCCTCCCCTTACTATTATGGTCTTAGTTTTACCTCATTAATCTTGTTAGACCTGTGTATGTTTATTTGTATAATTAAGATTGTTCAATGCATGAAATCCAAGATAGATAAATCCTTGAGAAACAGTAATGGAGTAATGATTCCCTGAGGCTACGGGAGGCGGGGAGGGCTGAAAACAATGATGAGTATATAACCCCACTGGAGGGGAATGAATAACAGAATTAGAGGAGAACTGATACATTGGATGGCATAAGATATGGAAAAACATATATGGATATATAATATAACATGACATAATGCTTCTTGGGGGGTAGGGTGGGGAAGGGAGGGGATAAAGGGAAGCTGATATCAAAGAGTTCAAGAAGAAAGAAAATATTTTGAAACTGATGGTGGCAGCAATTGTACAACTATGCTTGATCTAATTGAATTATGGATTGTTATAATATCTGTAAGAGCTCCAAATAAAATTATTCTTAAAAATTCCATTATGAAGGGTAAGGTTGCTCGGGTGATTATTGGAATTGCGGTCAGTGCGTTGTACGGCTGTAAAAAGTTGAGTTGGCAAAGGCTGTGTGATACCATCACAACAAGGGCAGAAAAGGAACAGCCGCCGAGGCTGCCATGCACAAACCTTGAGAGACGTAGGCTTAGGGTCATGGTTTCATGGGACATCCTAGTTAAGTAGCCTAATAATATGTTTAGTGCTTCTGCTCTACTTCCTACTGTGATGTGGACTGCCTGTGGTTTCTAAAAGCTTGCCAGGAGCCATCCAAAGCACAACAATTAGTCTTCTTCACTTAGAACAACAGAGAAAGAAGGAATGTCAGGGAAGAAGGAGGATATTGAATGTGTGGCTAACTGCCTCCATGAACAGCTGCCTCCTCTTCTATGAAATCAGAACTGGACGGTGTCCAAATAACATTGAACATTTTGATCAAAGATTCCATAGAAGAATCCTGATCAAAAGGGGGGAAATACAGAACAGAATTTCAGATTCACTTAGTCTTCAGACATCCTGGTGTCATGAAAGTTGGATAAACTCCAGAGAGAATTGCCTTTCTTTTAAAAACCAAAAAATAATGTATCTTAACTAGTAAAAAACGTCTACCTTAAGTACTATACTCCTTTAAGAGCTCTCTCTACAGTGTTAAATTGACAACATCAATATTATACAGGATCCTCAGTAGTGGGGGAAGTGCGACTGTGACGAGGGTGAGAAGGACCCACAACTCTAAAAATGTCATCAGCAGCACTGAACTAGACATGTACAAACTGTTGAGCTGCTGTCCACAGTGTTGTGCATATGCTCAACAATGGCAACAAGATTAACGACATCTCAAAAGGAAAAAAAAATCTATCCTGAGAAGAAGCTTTTAATACCTATAGGGTGCAAAAAGGCCATCTTTCCCACCCCTTGCATAATCCCCAATAGAGGTGCATATGTTGTCTCAATTCATTTAGTCAAGATCTAATTCCCTCCCCACTGCAAAATAATAAGAAAACTAGCAACCTTCTATCTTCTTCAAGCGGCTTACATGAACCTGGTGTATCTTCAGGAAGGCTGGGCCCAGAAGGATGGCAGGCCTTAAGGGGTCTGAGTTATTTAAGAGACCATTAAGGCATTGTACCTTAATTTCAAAGTCAACTATAAATGACTTTTAGAATTGTCGGATGTTTTACATTCTCCCCATTTATGCTCCTCTCTATTAGTGTAGCTCCATCAGGGACATAGTATCTCTCTTCAATTTGCTTCCAAGGATTTCAAAGTATTTTATGTGAAGCAATAATGCACCCACATGAGAGAAGACAACAGCAGATCTGGTCTCTGTGTTAGAGACTGACAGCAGACACAGAAAAGTGTAAGAAACTGGCTCAAGAACACAGGTATTGTTAGATCACATAGGGAAGCAGAACCACCACGTAACAGTTGCCACATCTCTTCAGAGGTAGGTCTGTTTCCATCTCCCCCTCAACCCAGCCTGATCATTAACCTGGTCCACTGAAGGCATCTACACAAGGCCTGCTTTTTCTATTAACATTGCATGCATGGGAGCAAGGCTGAACCCTAAAGGGACATGCCTCACCGACTTGTCGCTTACCAGTGCCTCTTTCACCTCTTCAGGGACATCAGTCTCATCCTCCTGTAACGAAAAGAGGAAGAGAAAGAAGAGGATCATAGCCACAGACATCCTTGAAACCAACAAGGTAGGCACTCAGCAATCATGCATCCTGGCATTTCAAACGTGAGCAACAAGGTGCCCTCTGACTACTGCTTTTCATGGACAGGCTGCCTGGGACAGCACTTGTCAAACTTGTCAGTTTGAGAAGAGGTATCTTCAAGGAAGAAAGTCTTGATTTCATCTCTGTTCATACGGATCAGTCTATTTGGTCTTAGAACAATGAAATATTTTAATCTACAGAATTCTTTCTATAGATGACTACTGTGATCTTATTTCCTTGGGGCACTGGATATTTTATCTAACTTTAAAATAAGCCACTGGTAACCAGGGACCTTTGTCAGTAAACTGGCTGCTTGATTTTCTTACTGCAAGTAACAAGAGGACGGTTGGAACAAGACATGGAGAAGGGTGAATAAAAGCACTGGGTGTGCATCGGCAGCAACAATCTGTCTTTGTTTTAATGTCCAAATTAATCTGTGTTATATGGTTTGTTTTCTTCTTCCCCTCCAAAAAGAGTGAAATTGAGCCCAATGAATTTGTGTTGCTTAGAGATGTTAAGTTCTTTGAAATCTTCATAGCTCTTCTAAATATTTAGCTGGAGTTCCTGCTTACATACTAGGGGGACACTACTAAAACTTGACAGATGTATTCACTTATTATATTTACTTATATGGATGTTATAAATTTCCAGAGTTTTCATTCTGTAGTTATTTACCGAGTGTCTGCTCTGTGTGTGCCACTGCGCTGGCACTGGGCATCCAGCAGGACTAGACCAGGTACATCCTAAGTTAGCCTCAGAATTATTTTTTGGAAAATCTGCCAGATTCACCCTGTGGGACACTCTGTCTCTTTCAAATTAAAGCAAGTCCCATTTTTCATTGCTCACATGTTCTAAGAGTCTGGTAGTTGTATACATTTCTTTTAACTGCAATGGAAAGATGGCAGTCATTGGCAATGCAATGTGCCCAGCACAGACCCACCCACTTACATCTGTTGTCCAGAAGTTGATGCCCGTGCCTCTTCGGCGTTCCTTGGGTCTCCTCCTGTCTCGGGTGGACAGCCTATTGGAGGACTGGTTATCTAAATCTGCATCTTCACTCTCTGGCCAGAGATAAAACACAGTATAGATCTTAAGAATATGGGGTACATGTACCAGGGAGGAACCTGCATCTTATGAAGCACCACATACCTTTCTTGTCCATTTCCCTTGCAGTGTCTGTGGTAGTCTCTGAATTCTCAGACTCGGGAACAGAAGACCTACTTGACCGGAACAGGTGAGAACTGGTGTAGAGAGAGGGACTGGGTGCCGAGGGAGATACTGGTGATGTGGGTTTGTCTGGCTTAGTTGTACACCTCAGACGACGATAGCCAGGCTGGGAATAATGAACAGCACGAGACGGGAGAGGTCAAAGACAATCACAGGAGAAGAATGGGTTTTCTATATCACACATTTATTAGTAATCGATGCTCAATAAATAGTTATTTATTGAGTCAACTTGTGTCTAATGTCAACTTGTGAACTGATGCTCTGATAATGCGGTCACACTGGTAGCAGCCATTCCTACGTGGACTACCACAGGGCACCTAGAGAGTGGTCATCTTGTGGGTAAAATCCTTTGACGTTGGGAATGAAACAGGGAGACTGCCCTTTTCAGATGAAGAGGCAAGAGGCAAGGCTTATGTAGGAAAAATAACAGCTCGGGAATAGGAGGACAGCCTCTACCTCAGACCACTCCACCAGGTTCTGAGAATTCTGCTAACCTGCCAGATGCAGTTTGTTGAAACTTGCATGCTTTTGTCCTGAGCATCAAGACAAATCGGGCCTAAGGATAAGACTTAACTTGGCTCATTAAAGATACAGAAATAGAGAATTCTTACTATGAATTATGTTTCCAAGAAAGAGATTAAAAAAAAAAAAAGATAGAAGCAATAGAACACAGTAACAAGCATTGGAGTCAGACAGAGCTTGGTTCTAATTCTAGCTACTGTGTCTCTGAGTTGTAGCTTTCTCAACTGTAATATGGGGATAACAGAGAGTGTTGTAGATTAAATGAGATCATGTATGCTAGTTGCTTAGAATAGTACCTGGCAATAAACCAAACCAAACCAAAACTTCAAAACTGCTGCTCTTATGTAAATTCTGACTCTTGGTGACTACACCTGGTCATAAATAATAAATACAAAACCCAAACCAAAGCCACTGCCAGAAAGTGGATTCCAATTCACAGAGACCCCACACAGAAGACACAGAGCAGAGCCGCCCCTTCGGCTCTCCAACACTGAAAAGCTTGATGGGAGCAGACAGCTTCCTTTTCCTCCCCTGGAGCAGCTGGTAGGTTTGAACGGGGCCTTGAGGTTTGCAGCCCAATGCTCAACCCACAGCACCATAATATCTGACAAACAATAGAATCTTAGTTTACCGAGATTTGCCATTAACAGTTAAATCATTAACCTTTATCCTATAACTGTGGATAAAGACCACAAAATTTCTTACCTAAACTGATATTCTTCTGAGAGTGATAGGTGTAGTTCTGATAACTACACGAGAACAACAGGTGTCAACGGGGCCATCTTAGGTATGCGCACCCTAAATATAACCCTATTGCTTTTACTACCAATTTCACTGAATGTTCATCCACACCGTGACACTTTGCAGCATGGGATTGAAGGGTGTTTTGTAAGTGCTTAGGTTTGTAGGGGCTTGAATGTCTAGTGCAATGTCGAATGGGTAGGAAGGCAAGCTGTGGCACTACATTGCCTAGGTTCCAAAGCTTGCTTTATCAGCTCTGTGCCTATTTTAGACAAATAATATCTTTGTGGATCAATTTCCCCACAGGTAAAATAAAACTATAGAATGTACCTCATATGGGTATTGTGAGGATTATATTAATAGATATGAAATACTTAAAATTCTGCCTGGCATAACATAAGTATTCACTTGTCTTTTATTATACTATCACCCATAGGAGTGGGGGAATTGTCCTGTAAGAACTGACACCCTCTGAATTCTTTTGGTCACACGGGGTTGCTAACTGAAATCAGCATATGTCGTGCTTTCTATGAGTAACTCACTGCCAGCGAGAACACCGGGCTTGAATGATTGGGGGGAGGGAGGGAGACCCCACATTAATCAGCACAGCGACCTTGTGGGTAATAAAGGCTTACCTCCTCATCCAGGCTCCCGCCCCGGGGCTGCCGGCCCTCCCCTGTCTCCTGTGCAGGCGCAGTCGAGGACTCATGCTTCTCGGCACGGACTTCAAGTGCTTCTGTGTCTGCAGGCTTCTCGCCAGGCTGCTCCTGAGCTTGCCGCTCTGCCCTCGACCTGCTGAAAGTTCTCTCTGCCTCTTGAAGGTCTGTTAGGGTGACACCCTGGAAAATATCACAAGGTCAGGGTAGAAAGATGGTCTTCAGTTCCCCACAAACCATGGAATGACTCTCGATGAGTAAGTAGGGAAACTCTCTAAAAAATCTAATAGTATCAAATTCCAAATGATGATCCCAAAATGCATAATGAGGCCAATGCAGCAACACATGCTTAAAATAAGCACCTCCGTTTGCAAAGAATGTAGACCTGAGTCCAAGTATCTTTCAAAGGTGTCATACTTTAGCTTTTTCAATTTGATCTCCCAAAAATAGGTCAGCATTGAGGTCTGCCTCTTATAAGTGTGCTTTGTTCATTCCAAGCAGTTTTCATCTTTATTTGAAAGCTCTCCACTCTCCCAAGATTAAATTCGGATCAATTGAGATTTTTCTGAACAACGAATATTAGAAAAACTTAGTTTTACTAATAGAGAAAGTCAAACTAAGCTAAAAGGTGGGAGGGGGGTGGTGGGGTGAAACCTCAGAGCCACACTAAAACAACAACAAATAAACCAAACCGAACAAATACCTTCCAAACAAAATTTTCTCTAACACTATTTCCCAAGTAGTCTGGGAATCATAGAGCGACATTCCATCAATTCATGTTCCCTCACAGGGATAAAAGAGCAGCAAGCTAGGAGAAAAACCAATGGCAAGAAGACATCTCTGAGAGAAGAAAGAAAAGGGGTTAGGAAGAAAGGGGGTGGGGTGCAAACGTAAGCAGTTAGATGCTGAAGTTCTCAGAGGAAGGAGAAAGTTCCAAAAAGCTGGGAGGTGGTACAGCAGACACCACCACCATACATTGCTTTTATTTCACTATCTAGTCATTCATTTACTCACTCTCTTAATAAAGATTCATGGAGAGTTTCTAAGCACTACAACTACAAAGAGAAAGCAAAATATTTCTGTGATCTTAATCTGGTGACAAAAAGAAGTAGATGACAATAATAAATTATAAGTATTAAGGTAGAAACACAGGAGCATAAAAGAGGCACACCTAACATTGGGCTTTTAAGAGTTACAAAAAGAAGCGTGGGAGAGGCAAGGGGGAAAAGATATTGCAGATAGATCGATTCTGTGCCAAGATCGGAGGACAAAGATACAGGCCATGACTGACTCAGGACACAGTGCTGACTTAGCAAAAGGAGAGGCCACAAAACAACACAAGGAAATCAAGGAGAGGAAGAAGGGGTATGGCTGAATTGATCAAAGCAGCAAAAGCTGGGTGACTGAGAACCCTGTATGCCATCCCCGATAAGGAGCTTGGATTTGTCCTTGATAAATCTTCTTTGGGGGGGTCAAGGATACCTTTGAGAATCTCACTGTGATGGGTAGATTTTATGTCACCTTGTTGCACCGATGTGAAGGAAAGGGTGGAGTCCAACCTATCAATCAGGTCACAGCCTGATGACACCTCCCTGGAGGTGTGGCCTATTTGTGAGCTGTGGTGGAGAACTGAGGCCTCCTCGCGCCCCTCTTTGCCTTCCTGCTTGCTCCAGGGGTGACCCATATGGCCTGCTGTCCCTGGAAGCTGTTGGCACCTTGCCATCTTCTTGTTGACCTTGACCCATGGGACTCTGCACCCACCGGCCTATCATCTCCTCACTTCCTGGTTTGCCTTCCTGCTTCACCAGCAGGCAGTTCCATACATTTGGATGGGGTTCCAGTGAGCACCTGACCCAAGGGCTTGAGTTAGTCGGACTGTGCTAAGCTGCTTCCTTGATACAAAATTCTTTCTTGATATATAAAGTTGTTTCATCATATATGCATGTATGTGTGTGTGTCCTAGTTTCTCTAGAAAACTCAGTCTAATATACTCATGAAAATGAAAATGAATGGTAATCTAACACAATCTTCTCTAAAGTTATATACGCAGTTTAAAATCCCTTCAGCTTCTGATATGACTGTCACTTCCTCTCTAATAAATCTTTCTTTTACAGGCATAAAATCTCCTCCTTCCAGTGCCCCAGTCACTCCAAACTTCAATTCTATGACCCCTTCTAGCAACTTTCCTATCTTTTCTCGAGCAAAGCTCAACTCATTCCAGTGTTGTTTATCTTCTTAGCATTTATTGTTCACTCATTTCTTCAATAAGTACTTTGATAGATTATTTACTGTAATGGTGGAGGGAGAGATACTGAGTACACATATATGGGGATCAAATTCTAAAAGGAGAAACAGACAAGTAATCACCAAACAAAAATAAAATCACAGGTATAATTAATATAAAGGAAGGATCCATGGCATAGTCTGAGAGGAAAGAACACAACATGTGCATGGCCTGTGTACAGCACACAGAAGCACGTCGTGTGTGGGAAAGGAGGGTAACAGGAGGATGAACGGCAGCCAAGGGCAGATGACTGAAGATCTATCTCATAGGTCATGCTGAGGATACAGCATCTATTCTAAGAACAAGGGGAGTCAGGGAACAGCTCTAAGCAGAGAGGATAGAGTGAGCGTTTATGCTGAAAATATCTCTCTGGTTACAGAATGGAGAACAAATGCAATGCTGAGAAGGTGAGGGTGGGATAGGTTATAGTTCATAGAAGCCATTATCAGGCTTTTGGTGCTAAAAAAGATACAAGAAAAACAGATGTAAGATGACTAGTCTTGAATGAACTAAGAGATAATAATGGTAGGTTAGATAAGAGAGGTAGAAGCAGTAAATACATTTTTAAGCAAGTTAAGGAGTGAAACAGTAAAACTAGTGATAGAATCGATAAAGGAGTGAAGTGAGGGGTGCTAAGGAAGAGATCCAAGTGTCAGATTTGTGCATCTGGAAGGAAGATGATTCCTTCTTTAGGTACACTATATGGTGCTGGCGAAAAATACCATGGACTGCCAGAAGGATAAACAAATCTGTCTTGGAAGAAGTACAGCCAGAATGCTCCTTAGAGGCAAAGATGGAGAGGCTTTGTCTCGTACTTTGGGCATGTTTTCAGGAGAGGCCAGTCCCTGTAAAAGGACATCATGCTTGTTAAAGTGGAGGGGTGGCAAAAAAAGAGGATCTTCCCCTTGACAAGATGGATGGACACGGTGGCTACAACGATGGGGTCAATTGAAAGGATAGGGGTGGTGTTTTGTTCTGTTGCACACAGAGGTGGATGTGAGTTGGAACACGGCACCTAACAACAGCAGCAACATATACAGAACACTGGGAGAGCCCGTGGCCTGAGGGAAACCATGAACTGAACACATACACCTTAGATCAGACCAACAGGGATTAGATTGCCTCGCAATACAAAGTGAGCAGAGATGTGAACCAAGGACCTGAAATCCTGAGGACTGCCAACATTTGATGGTTAGAATGAGGAGAATCAGCAAGGGCAACACTGAAGGAGCGATCAGAGACGAGAGGGGAATTCGGGGAAGACAGTATAACAGAAAGGGAACAGTTTTAATAGCTTGCCTTCTAGCCTCATCACTCTACTGACAGTCCTTGGCCAAGTCAACAAGGGCATTTTTGCAGCTATGGATAATGTCCCTTGTCCTTTCCTTGCCTTCTGTAGCAACCAAGACTGTTGAATTTCTCCTTCTCATCATAAGCTGACTTCTCATTCACTCCTTTGTTGCTACTATTCCCTAGCTTTCTTTTCATGTCTCTGGTTGCTCTTTTCCATTCTGCGGCATGGGCTCATTTCTCCTTACATAATTCTAATTCATAGCCTTCTCTTCCATGAATGTGGCCATTACAACCTGAGGCCATGCTCCTGTCATTTCCAGCTTGGATTTTGCTTAACAGGCCTTCTTGTTTCTAGGCTTGACAGCCATACTTCTGTCTACCACTCCTATCAATTCCCTGCATGGTCATTTTTAGAATCATATATAATACAGATTACATCATAACCCTCCTTAAGCTATTTCAATGGCTCCCTTAGGGAATATATCTTTATTTTGAAGTAACATTTTTAGTGCAATATAATCCACAAATTGTAAAACTCACCCCTTTAAAGTATATAACCTAGTGCTTTTTAGTATTGTCACAAGTTGAATTTTTAGTGCTGTATATACTCGTGTATAAGCCGAATTTTTCAGCACATTTTTAATGTAGTTTTTGTGGTAAAAGTAGGTGCCTCGTCTGATATTCGGGTTGGCTTATACTTGAGTATATATGGTATTTTATCACCAGTGTCCACTTCTGCTTTTATCATTTTAAGAAATCAAGTATCCTTTAGCAGTGCCGGCCCTTTCTTCCAGTCTCTGACAACCCAGCCCACTTTCTCTCTGGGGGTTTGCCTGCTCTGGGCATTTCAGACAAGAAATCATACGGTATCTGTGGTTTTTTTTGGTTGGGCTTCTTTCACTAGCACAGGGTTTTCATCCATGTTGTAGCACATAGCAATACTTCATTCCTTTTTATGGCTAAATAATATCCATTGCATAGATATACCACATGTTGTTTATCCATGAAGAGTTCATTGACATTTGGGCTGTTTCCACTTTTGGGCTACTATGAATAATGCTATGTAGAAATTTTTTGTGTTTTTAATTTCTCTTGGGTAGTATATATACATAGAAGAAGCATTGGTGCCTCATATGGCAGCCACATTGAACATTATCCCCTCGGGGATTCTTAAGATGTGGCCCTTTAATCACACGTAGAATTGCTAGTCTTATGCATAGCTGAGTCTGGAGGAATAGGGTGAGAGTGGATAGTCCAGCTATAGATTCATTTGATTCTAAACAGCCTAAGATTTACCATAGGTGACCACTGAGTTGATTCCAACCCATAGTGATCCTATAGGACAGGAAAGAATGCCCTTTGGTTTTCTGAGACTTTAAATCTTTATTAGACAGCCTCATCTTTCTCCCACAGAGCGGTCTGGTGGGTTTGAACCACTGGCCTTGTGGTTAGCAGCTCACTAAGCCACCAGGGGCTCCTTAACATAAGTGAAAGCTCTTTAAATATAGAGGGAGGAATAAGGCACTCCTTTCACTTTGTTTTGTTTTTTATTATACTTCCCAACATAAAGGCAGGAAAATACTTTTTAAAAGTTACACTCACTTGAGTAGACCTTCGGGTCTGCCGAGCCTGTCTGGAGCGTGCTTTCCGTAAAGACTCTGCTTCCTCATCCCGGACAGGAGTCAGATATGACCTGCAGAGAAAGGTAGTAACAGAAATAAGACCCTTGGCTACATGTACTGGGGCAATCGCAAGTGCTCCCTGAAACTGACGTGATTCCCACACTCAAGACATGAAGCTAGCAAAATCCAAATGATAGGGCTCCTGCCAAATAACAGTCAAAAATGACATCCTGCCAGAGAGTATCTGTAAGTGCCATACTTACCATTCATTGAGGATCATGTCACTGGTGAGAATTTTACTTCCTCTTGACCTCCTTGCAATTCTAATGTGTTTTTCTTGCTTTGGTGCTCTGGTTACAACTTCTAAGAAACATTGGCAAGGAGTGGGGATGGTATCTATGCTTAATTCCCACTTTCAGAGAGAAAGCTTTCAGCATTTTACCATTAAGCATCACGTCTGCTATAACATGTCTGTAGCTAACCTCATCAAATTAAAGAAATTCACTTTCATTCCCAGCTGGCTAAGAGGGGTTTTTGGGTTATTTGTTTTTTAATTATTAGTATGTGATGAACTTTAACACATGTTCCCCATCCCTATATTGAGATCGCTATTTTTACTCTTTTTCCCCGATTAAATGATTAATTACATTAACTGATTTTCAAATGATAAAATTGCACTGACTTATTGGGACAAGCCCAAGTTGGTCATGAGGCACCATCTTTATATATTCACTGGTTGGTTTGTTTTTAAGGATAGAATTTCTGCAACCATGTTCATAAAAGGAATTAGCCTATACATTTATTTTACTGTAATATCCTGGCTAATTTTCTTAATTTCAATCACCAGTAGTTTTCAATGTATCTTAATTGTATGCTCAATCAATTTTAGACTATGAAAAGTTATGAAAACCTTTCATTTCTTCATCTCTTGATGCTTGTGGTTGGTACATAAAATTTAAGCAGTCTAGAGAGGGGGAAAATGAGGAGCTGATATCATGGGCTCAAGTAGAAAGAAAATGTTTTGAGAATGATGATGACAACAAATGTACAAATGTGCTTGAGACAATGGATGTATATATGGATTGTGATAAGACTTGTATGAGCCCCCAATAAGATGATTAAAAACAAACAAATAATTTTTAAAAATTTAAGCAGCCTTATTAACTGGTCTTCCTTTAGATGTTAACCTGTCATTGATCACACTGTCCTTCAAGGTAGATCTCAAATTGCTGTTGTTAAATGCAACTCTGTCTTTTTAGTTTGTTGTTCTATGTGTAATTGACCACAGTCCAGCTCAGAAATGTCTAGAAAAGGAGCCTGGGGGTAGAATGGTGACAAAGTCATGAGGTGTCGATGGATCAGGTATCAGGCATCAAAGACCCCAAACAAAAAATCATATCGATGTGAATGAGGGGGAGGACAGAATGAAGACCCAAAGCCAATCTGTAGGCAACTGGACATCCCCTCACAGAAGGGTCAGAAGGAAGAGACAAGCCAGTTAGGGTGCAGTACAGCACCGATGAAACATACAAACTTTCCTCTTTAGTTCTTTAATGCTTCCTCCCACCACTACCATGACCCCTCTTCTACCTTACAAACTCTGCTAGATCAGAGCATGTACACTGGTACAGATACGAGTTCACAACACAGAGACTGCTGAGCCCCCCGTCCGTCTGCCGCCACCCACTCCGGACACAGAACATCCAGTCATGGATAAAAATGAGCTGGTGCAAAAGGCCAAACTGGCCGAGCAGGCTGAACGCTATGATGACATGGCAGCCTGCGTGACGTCTGCAACTGAGCAAGGAGCTGAATTAGCCAATGAGGAGAGGAATCTTCTCTCCGTTGCTTATAAAAATGTTGTAGGAGCCCGTAGGTCATCCTGGAGGGTCGTCTCTAGTATTGAGCAAAAGACGGAAGGTGCTGAGAAAAAACAGCAGATGGCTCAAGAATACAGAGAGAAAATGGAGACCGAGCTAAGGGATATCTGCAATGATGTACTGTCTCTTTTGGAAAAGTCCTTGATCCCCAATGCTTCACAAGCCGAGAGCAAAGTTTTCTACTTGAAAACGAAAGGAGAGTACTACCGTTACTTGGCTCAGGTTGCTGCTGGTGATGACAAGAAAGGGATTGTGGATCAGTCACAACAAGCATACCAAGAAGCTTTTGAAATCAGCAAAAAGGAAATGCAACCAATGTATCCTATCAGATTGAGTCTGGCCTGAACTTCTCTGTGTTCTACTATGAGATTCTGAACTCCCCGGAGAAAGCCTGCTCTCTTGCAAAGACCGCTTTTGATGAAGCTATTGCTGAGCTTGATACATTAAGTGAAGAGTCATACAAAGACAGCACACTGATAATGCAATTACTGAGAGACAACTTGACATTGTGGACATCATCGGATACCCAAGGAGATGAAGCCGAAGCAGGAGAAGGAGGGGAAAATTAACCAACCTTCCAACTTTTGTCTGCTTCAATCTAAAATTTACACAGTAGACCATTTGTCATCCATGCTGTCCCACAAGTAGTTTTTTGTTTACGATTTATGACAGGGTTATGTAACTTCTATTTGAGTTTCTGTATTTCCCATGTGGTTTTTATGGTTAATATTAGGGGAGTAGAGACAGTTAACATTTAGCAAGCTATCTGTTTTCACCTTGAGATGGCTAATATGGGGATGTGGAATTTTATACAAGTTAGAAGCGTTTGGCATAGTACTTTTGGTACATTGTGGCTTCATGAGGGCCAGTGTTAAAACTGCTTCCTTTTCTCAGCAAAGAAAACTGCCTACATATTGGTTTGGCCTGGCGGGGGATAAAGGGAGAATTGGTTCCAGTCACAGGTGTAGCTATTGTAGGTACTTTAAAGATCGGAGCATGTAACAAGGCTGTGGTTGAAATAGATGTCCCACGGATAGTACATGTTGAGCCATGTGCATCTATGGAATACACACACAATCTGCACACCTTCGCCTGCAGCTGCAGAGGTGCTCCTTTACACACAGTTGTGACCCAATTTACTCTGGAGAAGGGCAGACACGGTTCACATTCCATTATTTGTAAAGTTACCTGCTGTTTGCTTTCATTATTTTTGCTACACTCATTTGTATTTAAATGTTTTAGGCAACCTAAGAACAAATGTACAAGTAAAGATGCGGTAAAAATGAATTGCTTGGTATCCATTACTTTATGTATATCAAGCGCAGCAGTAAAAAAAAAACATGTATTTAACTTTTTTTAGGTTTTTACTTTTGTGATTTTTTTTTCTTTTTTTTTTGATACTTGCCTAACATGCATGTGCTGTAAAAATAGTTAACAGGAAAATAATTTGAGATGATGGCTAGCTTTGTTTAATGTCTTACAAAATTTTCATGAACCATCCAAGCATAATTGTTAAGAACATGTATTAAGTTGATGTAAGTGGAATAAAAGTTTTATTAATGGAATTTTCAAAAAAAAAGAGTTAACAACACAGGGGATCCAGGACAGATAAGCCCCTCAGGTCCAATAATGAGTGCAGCGATACCAGGAGGGGAAGGGTAAGGTGGTGGGAGAAGGGAGGAAGTGATCACAATGATTGCCATATAACCCCTCCCAGAGGGATGGACAACAGAAAAGTGAGTGAAGGGAGACAGCAGTTGGTATAAGACATGAAAAAATAATCATTTATAAGGGGAAAAAATGAGCTGATACCAAAGGCTCAAGTAGAAAGAAAATGTTTTGAAAACGATGAGGGCAACAAACGTACAAATATGCTTGACACAATGGATGGATGGATGGCTTGTGATAAGAGTTGTACGATTCCCCCAATAAAATGATTTTTAAAAAGAAAAGAAAAGAATGAAGGCAACTTATGTACAAATGCGATTCACACAATGGATAGATGTATGGCTTGTGATAAGACCTGTATGAGCACACAATAAAATTATTTTTTAAATGTCTAGGATATCAGTTTTTAAGCATTACATTTCATTTTTGGTGACTTCCAATTTTCTTCACATTATACTAGCATATTCCATAATCAATTACTAATGGATTTTGAGCCTTGCCAATCAGCAAATGAAGGTCCCAAAGGCTTTACTTCACCTGCACCATTAACGTCACCTCTATTTTGAGAGGGCAGCTCTTCCCCAGCAGTATTCTGAATTCAGCACAACCTGGGAGGCTAATGTTTGGTGGAGTCAACAAAAGTGAGGGAAACTCTCAACATGAATTGACACAACGGCCACAATCATGGGCTCAAAGGGGCCTAAGAAGATGAAGCTAGAGTAAGACTAGGCAGTGTTCCACTCTGCCATACATTAGGTTACCATGAGCTGGAGCTGGCGCAACAGCAACTCGTAGCAACAAGGTTTTGATGCCTCAAAAGTGCTCGAAGGAGGGAAAGGGAGCTGATAGCAATGATGACTGTATAACCCTACGTGAAGGCAACGAAGACGGAACTGCAGGTGAACAGATACATTGGATGGTATAAGATACAGTAAATGATAATAATGGTAATAATACTATAGAACATATTAAAAATAATAAAGGTTCCTGGGAGGTAGGATGGAGGAGAGAGGGAATAAACGGAAACTGATATCAAAGAACTAAGAAAGACAACGTTTTGAAACTGATGGTGGTAGCAACTGTACAATTATGCTTGGTCTAACTAAATTAAGGATTCTTATACAATATCTGTAAGAGCTCCCAATAAAATGATTTTTTTAAAAGTGTTCTCACCATGTATATTTTATGGAGGAATATGTACAAGTTCAAATGATTGGAAGAATTCAACAATGAATTGATCTGAGTTTAGAGTGCTTTTTGTGGGAACATTTTAAAGAATGGATTCAATTTCTTAAACTGACTTCAGACTTAGGCCTGTTTAGATATTCTATTTTGATAACACTTGTTTTTCAAGAAAATTTCCCATTTCGTTTACCCTCTCACATTTAGTGGCATAAAATTGCACATACTTTTGTGTCATTTTTATATCTATACCCTTTAACATTCTTATAAATTGGGTACGCCTAGCAGCTTTTGTTTATGTGGTGACAGATCTATCAATATTTATCTTATTAGAAAAATTT